CCTCTCTCTGTCCCTGTCACCTGTCTCTGTGCCTGTCACACCTCTTTCTGTGCCTGTCACACCTCTTTCTGTGCCTGTCGCAGCCCCCAGGGAAGGAGCCAGCTGGCTGACGACAAGCGGAGGTGTTTGGCCCGGCCAGGCTGGCGGCGGCCGAAGGTGGCCGGGGAGGAGCCGTGCTCGCTGGGGGCCGTGCAGCGCTCGGGGCCGATGTGTCCGAGCTGTGAGATCCTGCTGTGCCGGCGCTGCGGGACCCTGCACTCGCAGCGCGGCTTCATCGCCCACAGCCTGCTGGACCACTACGACCCCGCAGCCCCGCCGTGCTGAGCGCCCCGCGGGCCGGACGGCAGCCGGGCCTGGGGACCCGCAGCTCCTGGGCACGGCCCAAAGGCAAAGCTGGCATCCGTGGGGACGGCGGATCCCGGCCCGGCACCGGCTCCGAGCAGCTCAGCCACCGCAGCCGCTCAGTCTGTACGCAGCACATGCGCTCATTTAACCAGCAGAAACCCGGCAAACAGAGCTGTCACCTAAACGTTTCTCAGCTGTTAAGGACAGGCAATTGTTTCAGAAATATTCTCCAGAGCTTTCCTTTTCCTCGCAAGGAAACGAAGATTATCCCATTGAGCTGCAAAAGCAAGCATGACGACTACATGCAGAGCCACTTGCAATGCCTTTGTTTGCTTCGGTGTTGTTTGTGATCTGGAATATTAAACGTTTTATTTTTAAATTAACTACCTCAGAGATGCAACTTTATGGGGAAAAGGGGCTCTTAGCCACGAGGATTGCAGCTCACATTCCAATTCCCTCCTAGAATTTCCAAACTTTCATAGGCTTTCATCATCTCATTTGTGATCCTGCACCTCGCCTTAAAAGGAGCAACACCAATCTCAACTCACGAAGTATTTAAGTCTTCTTTTCGTTCTTAAACCCAGACCTGTATTTTTAAGCAGTTCTTCAAACAGTGTAGTGCAGCTCCAGACACCAGGCCAAGGCTCAGGGGCAGGGGTGGGTGGCATTAGGATCCAGGCACACAAAAGACTTTACCACTGTGCAATTCCCAAGAACAGGTGAAGGGTGGAAGTAGCCTCGGGAACAGGCGATCCCAAGTCGAGCAGCATGCACCTTCTCCTCCCATGCCAGCGGGCACAAATGCATGTGCAGGATTAATTCCTTGCTCCTTGGTAGGGAACAGGCTAAACAGACTTAGTCTCCCGCAGCCATTCACATTAAGGGTTCTTTTATCTAGCCAAGCAGAAGAACACACAGGCTGGGACGTTTGGACCTTTGTTTCATCTTTCCTTCTCCTAAATTTAAAAGTAACAAGTATATAGGGAAAAGGATTCTTTGTCCTTCCCATTCCTCTTTTGGAGCTGCTCCATTTTTGTTTGAATGAATGTTTGGTAAGGTGACTGGAATCCAGAATTTTTCTATTCCTAGGGAATAATTGGACTGGAGCTACAACATCTCACGTTTTGTTTCCATCCTCCCAGGAAAAAGTTCCAACAGGAGGAATTCAGAGCCACATTGCTGTGCTCCAGAGTATCTTGAACAATAGTGCTCAGCTCCCTTTGTGGAATGCCAGACACTCAATTACACTCCTCATGCAAGAGGTACAGAGACCATTTCAGAAACCAGACTGAGCTGCTGGAAGCTCCCAGGGCAAAGTCCATTAGGAATTTCATTCATGTAGGAGAAAACCTTAGGCAGGATTCACAAACTGCAATGAACTGCAGGTTCCTCCCTTCTGCCCAGACTTCACTGGTTCTGCACACTGCTAGCAAGTGCCCAGACTTCCTGCCCAAATGCAGACTTCTAAAGCCAAAAATGAGATCTTATGAACACCCTTCTGCCACAAGGGCCTTAATCCCTCCAAAACCACATTTCCATGCTGCTTGATTGTCGCTTCTGCTCATTTTTAAAAGCCAACCAGGACCTGGCAAGCCAGAATTAACCTTTCACATTTCTCTGGGACTGCTATTCCTAAACTGGGACCCTTCACAGCTTTCCCAAGAGTAAGCCATACCATTACATTAAGAAATATAAATTCAACCTCTTTCCTCTTCATCAAGCAATGCAGAGGAGACTTCTCCACACAATCACCTAAGGAAGAACAAGGTGACAGACTGAAAGGATGAAGGACTAGCTCATCACAACAGCATTATTTTAAATCCTACAGTCCCATACAGTGAAATCAGTTCAAATAGGTCACGACTGAGCCTTTATCCAAGTGTTCCAGAGGGGAGAGAACAAGGAAAGTTCTCTCAGCCTCTCCCTGGTAGGATTTCCTTTGTGGCTTACTAAAGGACACCACAAGGTCCTCGTGTGGGTTATTAGGCTGGAAAGGCACCCAGGTAGCTGCAGTGTACAAACCCAGCTCATTGAGGAGAGCAGCCCTCTCTTGTCCCCAGTGAACGGCCAGCGCTGGGCTGTGCTGTCTGAAGGACAGCTGCCAATGCAGGCAGGGGGAATCCATGCTCCTGGCAGGAGCACCTCCCCTCTCCTCCAGCAGCCATGGTTATGTTTGGGGAGAGTTTTTGTTATGCACCGAGGCTGCACCAACAGTTTTGTACTTGTTTTCTCAGCAGCTGGTGAATTACTGCACCTTCCCTGCACTGGCTACCAAACCCAGCTGCAGAGATCTGCTTGGTGCTGGGTCTGTTCCTACCTCAGCCCGGTTAATGTGTGCCACTGAGGTCAGACAACAGAACCACACCTTCAGCTGAGCCTGCCTTTTCTGTCGTCAGCCACACCCACAGTGAGGCCCTTCTGTCTCCAAAATCCCCAGAGCCCCAGCAGCACCAGGGCACTGTCCCCTCATATGGCAGCACCTACTGACACTTGTGCACCAGAAGAGCTCTGCTCCCTCAGCTCTTGGACTGTCATACCAGACAAGTCATTTTTTAAATTATTACATCTTAGCAGAGGATTTCAGGCTTAGATTTTAAAGCTGGCTCAGACACATAATTACACTACATTGTAATATAGAATAGCAATATTGTAATAAAGAGTAGTAATAGAAATACTGATTACACATTTAAAAGATTTAGGCTTGAAACCATCCTACAGAATAGAGCTATGATATAGCTTGACATATCAGTTATTAAGTGCCTCTACTATTTAATTATCTGATTTCAATAGCTCTGGGAGATTAAAGAGGAATATTGGACTCTTTTATATTAAATACAGGAATGTGCTCTGTCCAAGGCATTTGCTGGAATGTGAGTGACTTGACAACCAACAACACCACTCTGCCAAAACAACCAGTACAAGCACGAGAGGGAAAGGAAGCAGCTCCACAGCTGAGGGGCAAATCCATGGCAGCTCTTTCCCTGGAAATCCAACACAGGACAAGCAGGAGTGTAAAAGCAGTAGTGCTCACTGTTTGTCACAATATAAATGATTCAAGGTAGAAAGCAAACCCATCAAGTAATCATGCAATCAGTAATAAACCAGAACAAATAACGATCATTTACATGCTGCATATACCCAATTTCAGCTGTGGTTTGAAAGCCCAGGCCAGCTTTCCCCTCTCCCAGATACAATGAAGGCCTGGAGAAGGAAAAGTCATTCTTCCAGTGGACACATACAAAGAAAGGTAATTAACATGAGACCACGTGAACTGAAGGTTCAATACAAAATCTTTAAATTATCTTTTTATAATCTAACCATTTGATGACTTCTGAATTCAGAAACTGGTCTAAAATACTGTGTTCCAAATCAGCCCAAATTAACTTACCAATTAAGTAGTAGAGGTGGATATTTGGAGGAAAGTACAGAAATGATCCATGGATTGATGTGCCAAAACCTAATCCTCTCTTGGATGACAAACAGTGAAGGACACTGTCTCTCCTTTGACTTTCCACAAAGCACTTCATTTATCTATTTATTTGTTTTCTGAATGAAAGCCTGTATGCCACAGGCTGTAACAAGTATGATGAAACCAGGGAAAGTGGTGATCTATTTACTAATACAATTCAGCAAACCAGGACTCTGCTCAAAACTGAACATGAAGGTATCACAAAACCAGCTTTGGTGACCTGGAAAATGCTGCTTCCTGCCGGGTTCAGCCCCGAGAGGTCAGCCTGGGAAGCATCTCTGGGAGATGGGATCACTTCTCACCTATTTGAAGACCAATTCACAGGAGGAAAACACTTCATTGTCTTTGCCAAACACAAAAATAGACCATTTAACTCGGCTCTAATTTTCTTTCCCCATTCTTGTTAATTGATTGCCAGGAGTAAACATAGAGAAGGTAAAGACAAGCAAACAACACAGCCATTGAAGGGCTATTAACTAACACAAACACTGAGCAGAAGCAGCATTTCCTAATTACCTCTAAATATTCCTCAAGGAACAGAGGGAATGGGGTTTTCTCACCATCTCAAGTGCTTTTATACCCTGCGTTTTATACCCTGCATCCAAAATCCCCTCAACCCCCACAAAAGCTCTTTCCCAGTGCAGTACCCCGGTGGTGCTGGAGGCAGGGAAGGAGTTCCTGCAGCTGGAGGTCACAGCTCTCACCTGCGGTGAGCAGAGGGGAGCCTGAGGCACACCTGAACCTGAACCACCCCTTCGAGTCCTGGGCTGGGACACGGAACCCAGCTGCCCTCGGAGCTATGGAAATAAAGGAAATCAAGATGCCACTGTGCTCCCTCCTGGCAGAGTGCACGCACACCAGCCCCAGGCAGCCAAGCTGCACTCACCAAATTCATCTCAAAGCCCTGGGAAAGCTGATGTGTCCCTCAACAAGACCAGAGGTGTCCAAGTGCTCTTGGAATGTGTCCAGGAACAGTTCCTTATGCAAATTCACATGCTGTGAATTACCTGAGGATGAGATTACTTTTTTCAGACCTGTCACCTGCAACGTGTTTTTTTTAACTTTCCTGCCATCTGTTATAGAAATAATAATAATTTTTAAAAAAGGATATAGCACACTTTAAATGCTAATATATTGTATTAAAAAAAAACAACACACACACACCCCACTTGTTACTTTTAGAATATTCTAAAAGCAGAAGTCTTTCCAGATAGGTAAGCCTCACCATGGGGTGAGGACAAGAGGATCAATGCCCTACACAGAACCCACCCTGACTCCAGGTAAGTTCTTAACCTCTAAAACAAACAAGGAACCCCCAAACCAACAAAAATAAAACACTCTCAACAAAGTAAAACCAACTTTAATTAAATTCCTATATCATCCAACGTTTCTATGCAGAACAACTGTTTAGTCAAAAAGTAAATATATATGTTTAATTCTCTTTCAAATGTCCAGAAGAAT